GCCTCGCCAGCAAGGCGAAGGTCCCGGCGCTGCCATCCTCCTCCTCCTCCTCCTCCTCGCTGTGCACCACGGCTGCCAGGTCCTGTGGCAGCTCCACCGCACCTCCGGCCACGCGCACCTGGGCGTCGTCCCGCTCGTCCTAAACGCGGGTGGGAGAGGGTGTCGGGCGGGGACAGACACGGTGCCTACCTTGGGGGACGGGGGACAGAGAACAGCCAGTCCTACGGTGCTGGGGACACGGGGGCATTCCAGGACTGTCCAGTGCCAGACTCGGACGCTGGACGAACAGTGGGCAGCAGATAGACAGTGGCCGTCTGCTGCCCTCTTCAGGAATCCCTCCCATCCAGGGGACCACGGCAGCCATGGGCCCGGGACTCTTGTGGGTAATGTAGAGTCAAGGGGAACCCCCGAGGTCTGCAGACAGGCTGGTTCTTACCTGGGCCAGGTGGTACTTGTCCCGCAGGTGCATCCGCACCGTGGCCCGTTCTGCCTTCCTCTGTGCAAACACCTTATCCCGCTCGATCCTGCAGTAGGTGCCACACCATCACCCCCACCTCACCGAATCCCCCAGGACTACCCTGATATCACTCTGGTCCTCCTGCAGAGCAGGTCTAGGGCAGTAGGGAGGAGGTCTGAGATCCCCAAGAGGGTTAAAGTGAGGATGTGGGACCAGGAACCACATCCTGTGCACCCAGCTCAGCAGCCAGATTCAGAGGTGCTTGATGAAGGTGCCCATTTCAGGGACTTGCTCCTCCTGCAGCCTCTCATCTCCCTGGTGCTGAGCTGCTGGGTTCCCACAGCACCTGCTCTTGGGGGAGGTGGGACCTTAATCCAATCCTGTGCTGACCCCCCATCCCTTGGCTCCAAGGGTGCTGGGCTGGAACCATCCTGGGATTCTGACACCTGAGGGTTTTCCTTGTCACCTGTGGTGCACGAAGGTGCTGTTACAGCCCTGTGCCAGCACCTCCATGGAATTCCCATGCTGTGGGGGAGACACACTGAAAAGCACCTTCTGTGCACTGTCTCTTTCCCCAGCTGCCTCCCTGTCCCTGTCCTGTGCCACCCCGGGGAAAGCCCACAGCAGGTGGGATCCCGATTCTGGTGTGTTGGGGGACCCTAGTGACCCGCCCAGCCCCAGCAAAGCCTTACTTCTCCTCCAGCAGCTGCCGCTGGTACTCCTCAAACTCCTCGCGAGCCACACCGTTGGGCAATGCAGCTGCCTTGTCATCCTTGGGGGCCCCCTTGGGTGACTCGTCCTTGCCCCTCTGGAAGCTCTTCAGGGCAGCCATGAAGAAGGAGGCCATGGTGGGTGTGTGGTGGTGACAGATCTTGCCCCAGGGTGCCCACCAGGTTCCAGTGCCTGCAAGGTCAGTGGGACCAGCCCCAGGGGCACCGCGGATCAGGGGCGGATTAAGGCATTAGGAGGGGAAGCCACAGCCAGGGTGGAAAGACCTTCCCTTTGCTGCACCCAAGGGTGCTTGCAGGGGACAGTGGCAGTGTGGGGGGACAGCAGGTGCTGCCACATCAGAGTGATGGGGAGGTGGAAGGAGCCATTGAACTGCAGCACACACTGGGTCAGGCTGAAATACCCCCCATTACATGGGTCCCAACTTGGGGCAGCACCCATGGGGCCAGGGCAAGCCCTGGGGAGAGCCCCATGCCGTGGGCACCCAGAACTACAGGGGGATTGGTGGTGCAGGACGTTAGCACAGAGGAGACACAAGAGGATTAGCCGAAAAAACACAATCGAGGGCCAAAGGACTGGCAGCAGATGAGGCAGTGGTGGGTGCGCACCCACCCGCGCGGCAGCCTCATGCCCCCGCTAATCCCTTGTCCACCAAGACTCAAGATTGCTTGGGAGCCTGCAGGGCTGGGGGCTACCCACTACTGGGGATGTGTCCTGTGCCTGTAATCTATACTAAAGCAATTCCCATACAGCCTCTGATTAAAGCATAATCCCCTGCTGCACTGAGCCCCGATGGGAAAGGGGATGGATGGCACGGGGGCTCCGAGCTCCTGGTCCCCCCAAAGCCTTTCACTGGGCTTTGTCAGGCCCCAAGTGAGAGATCGGCCTAATTTCACCCCAGAGGCTTCAGGATGCTGTTGAGCTAGTTTCTTTGGTTTAATCAAAAAGTCCAAATCCATGGGGTTTAGCTGGCTGTGCTGGCATCCCTGTGTGGGGCTGGGTGCTGGGGCAGCGCTGAGTCAGGATGGGGTCTCATCCTCCACCCATGGAAATATCCAGTCCTGTCTCTCATCACGGGGAGTTGCAGCTTGAAGGGACCCCACATACAGCATCTGCTCCTGGGGCTGAGCACAGGGGGTGTGGGCATGGCTCCCTTGGGGACTGGGCTCCCCACTCTGGTGGGTCAGGGGAGATCAATCCCATGGAAACATTCTCTGGGCGAGAGGTGGGTAGAAGGACCATGCTGGGATGGAGGGAGGCTGCTGCCCCATCTCCACAGGGAGAGAGCAGCACCACAAGCCATTCTTTCTGTTCCTGGCCCCAATTGCCCTACCACTCCCAACCCTGGAGGGTCTTGGGGCTTCAGGTCCTGGGTCCTGGTAACAGGATGGGGGTTAAATGTCCCTCAGGTGCTTCAGCTCCTTCTGCAGCTTCTCTGTGAGTTTCTTGAAGGACGGGCGCTTGCCTGGCTCCAACTCCCAGCAGCTCTTCATTAGGGTATAGACGGTGGGTGGGCAGCCCTCGGGAGGATCCATGCGGTACCCCTGCTCCAGCAGCTCTGTCACCTCCTTCAGGGCCTGCCAGGATGGAGAAGCCAGCTGACAACCCCCTTCCCTGCTCTGGTCAGGGAGCAGTGGGATGTCCCTGTCCCATGAGTGCCAGTGGGGTGTAACAGGTGTAACCTGTGGTGTTCCCTGGCACAGTGCTCACCAGCTTGGGGTAGGGTGCCCGTCCAAAGGAAAAGGTTTCCCACAGGAGGATCCCGTAGCTCCACACATCCGACTTGGAGGAGAATCTCTGTGGCAGCAGGAGACGGGGAGGCTGACGCCAGCTGAGGGCTGCACTGTTGGACCCCATTGCTTCCCGAGGGCAAGACAGAGGACATCAACTGCCCCCTGCCCCACCCCCAGCTCCCATGATGTGAACACCCCCCAGTCCCATCATCCTGCCCCAATTCCCATTGCATGCCTGCTCAGGACAGAGACAGAATTTTGGGAGACGCAGGGCTGACTGTACCAGAGGTCACTGTGGGGCAGGGATGGGGCAGGGAAAAAGGAGGGGCTACCCACGGGGGTGAGATGCTTTGGAAGGACCCTCAGGCCAGCCCCTTCCCTCTCACTGTCACCCACGTTGTGTTTCAGGGCCTCTGGTGCCGTCCACTTCACAGGGAGCAATGTGGCATCTGCACCCTTGGGGTTGACCCGGGCCAAGCCGAAGTCGCTCACTTTGGCCACGTTCTCCTCAGAGATGAGGATGTTGCGGGCAGCCAGGTCCCGGTGCACCAACTTCTTGGACTCAAGGTAGTCCATGCCTTGAGCCACATCCCTGCCACAAGCGAGTGAGACAGTGTCACCGTGGGTGCCCTGGGGCCGCACAGGGGGATGCAGAGCCCAGGATCCCAGCCCAAAGGAGAGAGAGGGACTTACAGGGCGAACAAGAGGAGCTGCTGGGTCGAGACGAGCGCCCGGCCCCGTGTGCGCAGGAAGTTCACCAGGTTGCCCTGACAGGATAAAATGAGTCAGGACCAACAGGATGAGGCTTCCAGGAGACTTTGTCTTCTGCAGGTTCTGCAATGCCTGACATCTGTGATGACTCAGCCCCTAGACAGGGATATTGTCCCCAGTCTAAGTACTGATGTGTCCCACAGGCTGAGGAGCAGCCAGGTGCTCTCACCTTGCTCATGAACTCCATGACAATGTAGAGGCCATTGTGCAGGATCACTCCCAGCAAGCACACAAGGTTTTTGTGCCGGACCTTCCTGGAATGGAGGGGATCCGAGTCAAGGAGGTGCCTGCTCGTCCTGGGCCACGAGGCAGGGTTGGGCCACACCTCCATGAAGCACTCACGTCATGGCAGCTGTTTCAGCAAGGAAGGCCTGGGCAGTCACATCACACTTGATGTTCTTCACAGCCACCCTCTGCCCCATGTACTCGCCCTGCAGGACATCTGGAAGAGCATGGGAGAGTCAGGCTGAGCCCCCCATGCTATGAGATGGTGAGGGGGATCAGGCAGTGCCATCTGGGGAAGCTGCACCTGGGGAACATCCAGCCCCATCCTCTCACCTACCTCCGAACTCGCCTTGCCCAATGCGGTCTCCAAGTGTGAGGTGCTTCAGGTTCAGCAACCAGCCAGCTGGGCATGGGCACAAGGGCAGGTTAGCAGGGGCCACCAGTGGGGCCTTGTCCCTAAAATGCAGACCCAACCCCCTCCCACTATGCCCTACCTTTGGCCAACTCCTCCTCAGCTGACTTCATCCCAGATTTTGGTTTGGGCTTCACCAGCTTGGTGCAGATGGCTCCCTGCTCCTTCATGTAATGCTGCCAAGGGATGAACAGATGGAGCTGATGCCAGCTCTTACCCTCAGGCTCAGGGTGTGAGTCCAGGGAACAACTTTGGGGTACTCCATGAGACCACACTATTGCCACCCTAGAGGGCAACCCATGTGTCAGCCTTGTTCCCCTCTGGGCACAACCAGAGGAACACCACGATGGACACGGGGGAATATGGGATTCTACCAGTTGAACCACAGGTTCTGCTGCAGCAGCTGAGGGCAGTTTGCAGAGCTGATGGGAGCAGAAACAGCCAGACAGGATGGGACAGGATGGGACAAGATGGGACAGGATGGGACAGGATGGGACAGGATGGGACAGGACAACCTTTGGAGTTTTAAAGTGGGGCTGGGGCAGCTGAGAAGGGAAAGGAGCCACCCAAAAGTTGTGTCTAAAAGGAAAACACGAGAGTGAAACTCCCTGGAGAGCAGACAGGGTGAAGGATGGGCAGCTAGGAAAAACTCACTGGAGGGGCAAGAGCTCACACAGGAGCCTGGGAGCCCTGTGGGGTCAGCAGGTGAGAGGGACCTTTGGGTGGAGTGAGACACAGCAAAATGCCTCAAAGTCCAGAGGCCACCAGGGTCTTCCTGCTATGTGAAGCACTGAATAAGCAGGGATAGGGGTAATCTGGCCCTTGGCCAGGGACTGGGACTGCAGCTGGCACAGCTGGTTTGCAGAGACATCCTTGGGATATCCCAGATCTGCCCATTGTACCCCAAACTGAGTGGGAACCACGAGCCTTTGAAGGGGATAGGGAATTATACCAGGGCTCTGGTGGGACTCTCTGCCCAGGGGGTCTCACCTCAATCATGTCAATGAGGTTGGAGAAGTACTGCTGGCTGTCGATGCTGAGTGTGTTCTCCTCGTGCACCACGCGGTAGTGGATCACCTCCTTGCCAAAGCTCACGCACAGCACGTAATCACCAGGGTGCCGGACAGACTCACGCACCAGGAACAGCCCGTCCTCAGGGGGCTGCAGCTCCCGCACTGCCTCCATCCCTGAGATCTTCCCATGGAACCATCTGAGGAGAGGGGGCTGAGCCAGTGGGCTTCCCACAGGGGCAGCAGTGAGATGGGGAAAGCAGAGCCCCTGCCAAAGCTACACAGACCCCTCTCCATGGGGTCCATCCAAGCTTGGTGGGCACAACTAGGGGTCCTTAAAGCCAGATACTGGCCCCTGTAAATCCCTCCATCACCAGGGCATGGCTACAGGATGCTCTGTCCCCAGCTGCCCACCCAAAACATGCATGGGGAGAACACACTGGGCTCATCTGCTGTTGCAGCTCCCAGGGGTTCAGCTGAGTCCCCTGGGGTCCCCTCAGACACCCCAGCCATACTCACGGCATCAGGCTGAGTTTGGGGTCGACACGGATGGCCCCACGCTCCCGCAGTGCACTGGCTGCCAGCAGCCCCTCCTGCCCCGTCTCATTGTGCCTGGCGCGGTACCAGCCTTTGCCCTGGGGACAAGAGGGTGTCAGAGCAAGGGAAGAAAGAGGGGATCCCTCTGGGAAGGAAGGGACTGGCTCTGGCAGCTGAGCTGATGGCACTGGAGTCCCATTCTGGCCATGCCCTCTCAGCACAGCGTGTGCCTGAGCACCCATAGGTCTCACCTCCACAGCCTCAATGATGGTGACCATGTCACCCTTGCGGTAGGCCAGCTCCCGGGGCTTGGGCTTGCTGTGGTCATGCTTGGTGACACACTGCGTCCCGGGGGGCCAGTGCTTCTGCAAGGAGAAAGCAACATCAGTAGGGACAGAGAGCTGGACCCCTCTGCTTCCCACAGGCACCAGAGCCAGCCCCAAGGACCATCTGAAGCCCTGTCTGGGGACCAGGGGCACTGGGCATGAGCCCTCCTCCACCCCACTTTGGTCCTGGGAGGATATGTCCCCCCAGCTGGCACTGCTGGTGTCCCTGTGCAGCCCCGCTCACCCCAGACATGGCAACCGTCAGCGCATCAGGGGCTCCCTGTCCTCTCCTGCTGCCACCTGCAGAAGAAATCAAAGGGACTGTGGAGGGTCGGGGCTGAGCTGGCTTGGCCCAGGTCACAGCTGCTGTCCCAGACCACCGCTGCTGTCCCACAGGCTCCCCTGGCCAGTGCAGCTCCTGTCCCTCACACAGCCTCGCACCACGGGATGGAAGAAAAGGCTGAAAACTCTGCCAGTGCCAGCTGCGTCCTGGGGACACTCCTGTCCCACACATGGATGGGAGCAGGACCCAGCACTCCTGTTCTCTGCCTCTGCCATCAAAGAGGGGCCCCAGCTCCCACCAGCTTTGCTGGCACAGCAGCAGCCCAGCACCACAGCTGTGTGGGAGTAATGTGGTTTTACCAGGAACTTGCTTTTTCACCTCCTCTTTCAGGAGCTCTTAGTCACCATGGCCCTGCTGATGTGGGATGTAGCAGGGCTGATGCAGGGGCTGCCTAGCAGCAGGGACAGAGACAGGCAAGGCTGGGCTGAGGTGGGACTGTCACATGCACTGGCTGTGGGGTGATTGTGCAATGTCCCTGTGATGCCCTTGACACCAACTGGTCATGCTGGGATGCATATGACAGCTTTGCAGTTTAAAATTGTGGGTCTTTTCCTACTGGAGTCCTTCACTGTCACCTCCTTAGGAGGACCATAGAATCAGGGAATGGTATGGTTTGGGAGGGATCTTAAACCCCATCTCATTCAACTCCATGCCATGGGCAGGGACACCCCCCACCATCCCAGGCTGCTCCAAGCCCCATCCAACCTGGCCTTGGGCACTGCCAGGGATCCAGGGGCAGCCCCAGCTGCTCTGGGCACCCTGTGCCAGGGCCTGCCCACCCTCCCAGCCAACAATTCCTTCCCAATATCCCATCCAGCCCTGCCCTCTGGCACTGGAAGCCATTCCCTGTGTCCTGTCCCTGCAGGCCTTGTCCCCAGTCCCTCTCCAGCTCTCCTGGAGCCCCTTTAGGCCCTGCAAGGGGCTCTGAGCTCTCCCTGGAGCCTTCTCTTCTCCAGGTGAGCACCCCCAGCTCTCCCAGCCTGGCTCCAGAGCAGAGGGGCTCCAGCCCTTGGAGCAGCTCTGTGGCCTCCTCTGGACTGGCTCCAGCAGCTCCACGTCCTCCTGATGTTGGGGGTCTCAGAGCTGGAGGCAGCTCTGCAGCTGGAGTCTAATCAGACCAGAGGGGCAGAATCCCCCCTCTCTCCTGCAGCCCCTTCCATCCCATGCTGTGGGATGAGCTCCTTGGAGCAGAGATGACTTTGCTCCTTTGGAAGGTGAGTCACAATCAGCACTCTGCATCACTGGTGGTAAACTCATCTCTGTGGCATTGTGGAACCAAGGTTTATCTGGTTATGCCAGCCCATATCCACAACAACAAAACAGGGACAATTGCAGCTGCTACAAGGTTATTATCAGAAGGCAGCAGTTTTGTCTCTACCAGAAGCCACTGTTAGCCAGCACCGCCATCCCCTCACCTTGCAGCCCATTCGTGGCACACATTGTCCTGGTGGGGCTGGAAAGGTCACCTTGTGCCTGTTCCCCAGCAGGCACAGCCAAAGGCTGATGTGATTGGGTGCAGCTCAGATTAATTCCAGGATGGTGAGGACCCCATGAACACAGAGCTTCAGAACAAGGTCTGCTCCACACCCCTGCTGTGGTACATCCTGATCCAAAGACAGATGTGCTGGCTGAGCCAGGAGGGCTGATGGCAGCTCTGACAACTGTCCTTTGTTTTCTGCTGCTCCAGGACAGAAATTTTTGGTGAAAAGCAGCAACTTTTTGGTCAGTTCTGCCCCCGTGTGCAGACAGCAATTGGTGCTGGGAAGGGACAGATCCTCCACTCCAAAGGGAAGAGCTTCTCCTCTGCCCAGTTAGCCCTGGGGCTCGGGGTGGTGGACACACACCACCACATGGACACCTGCCATTGGCAGAGCCTGGCCACCAGCCAGTGCCTCACCCAGGCACCAGCAGGGACAGCAGTGAATCACCTTCCTCACATGCCTTGTCCTAAAGCAACTCTTTGTTCCTGGAGGTGTTTGATCCATGAAGTTCCCATCACTGGAATAATTGTTCCCACAAGCAGAGTATGCAGGCAGAAAGCCTGAGAGAAGATATTTGCCCTATTCTTTGTTTTGGGGCTGTTCTGTACTTTTATGAATTGGTAAACCTGGGTAATAGCACTGAGGCTGAGAAGCACAGAAACACAGTGGGGGTTGGTAAAGCTGTCCCAACCCTGGACTGGAGAGCTCAAGCTTATTCCCAGTGCACAGAGTTACCCCAGCTGAGAGGTGCCAAACCTGACAGCACTGTGCCAGGAGGGGACACCGCCTGTGGAGGCTGCACCTCTGGATGAGATGGAGCCGACACGTTGTGCACTCCTCTCCAGAACACACACAGCTGCACTGGGTGTCAGTCAGACAAAGGGAAGATACATTTCCTCTGCTGGAAAACAGGTGACACCCGAGCATTCCCCCCACTGCCCACCATGCTCAGCACTGTGCCCATCCCTGCCTGCTGCCAGAGTGGACAGGAGGACTCCTCATCTGCCCTCAGCACCTCTTGGACCTCGCTCTTACCTCAGTGGTGGCCATGTGGAGCCGGGGGCAGCGATGTCAGGGGAAGCTCACAGCTGAGCCTGGACTTGGATTCCTGAACTCCTGGAGAGTCTCTTTCCTTCTTACACAGAGCCAAGCACTACATTTATGGGTAGCTCCCAGACAGAGGCAGGGCCCAATTTCCTCATTTCTCTGCTGGTGAGGCTGTGATGCAGCGTCCGGGCGGTCCCCGTGCTGGCGCCGCCTGCGCCCTCAAACCTCCATCAGAAATGACTCATTATTTGACAACACTTAGATCAACTTCTGCCCTTTGAGGGCACAGTTATGAACCCTTGATAGAAAGGAACTGGAGTTTACCAGATTCTGTCCCCTGCGGCAGTGTGGGGAAATCAGTATCCCCCTGCAAACAGGGACAGTTGCTGTCACCACTGCTGGCCTGGCCAGAGCAGTGACAATGGTATGGGTGCCTGTGGTGGCAACAGCTCTCTGGGGAGGCTGAGTCTCAGGAGAGGAAGAGCTGGGACCAGAGATCCCCAAGTGGAATTTTGTCTCAACATCAACTCTGTGAGCCTCAGAGCAAGTTGATCGTGGCCACTCTTTGCTGTTCCTCTGGGGGTGACAATCCAGAGGCATTGCAGGTTGGGACAGGCAAAGGCAGAGAGACCTTTAAATGAGTACCACTGTTAAAGAGATGCCGCTTATCTGTATCCTGCAGCATCCACAATGAGTTGGGAGGGAATAACCGCCTCCACAGTTCATCCCAGCCAGAAAACCAGACACCAGCTCTGCACTAATGTTCAGCATTTCCAATATTCTGAGCAAAATGGTGAAAAAGAAGAAAATGAAGTTGTAGGCAAACACCAGACTGCATTCAGGGGTCTTGGGATCTTTTTGGGTGTACTTTAAAAAAAAAAAATAATAAAATGGTGTTTAAGCCTTTAGAAAATATTGGCAATTTAAGGGCAAAGGCAGTGTAGAAAAAAACTAAGTTAAACTAGCTGATACTTTCAGGTCCTGGTTATATCTTTTGATCCACAAACAACTTCCCTAAACCATTCAAGCCAGACTGTTCATAGGATTTTTGGGGTGGGTTTCCCCAGGAACACTCCTTGCATTTTTCCCTGTATTTGTAGGGATGGGTCCTTAGAAATGTGGTCTGTTCAGGCTGGAGAATAAACATGAGTTCATCTGTACACCTCTGAGCTGCACTCCCAGGATCTGCACAAGGCTCCCTGTGACAAACAGAAATATTTTGTACTTTTGGGTTTTGCCACATCCGGCTGTTGGTACAGACATGACCATGGCTGAAGAACTTGGTGTCACACACAAGGAACCACTCCCCCAGATGTAATAAATGGGCTTTCCCTGTCCTCCTGCACAGCCATGTGCTTCTGCTTGAGCTGGTGTTCCCTTTACATCCTGGCACATGCCACCCAGCCAGAGCCTGAGCCTTTAACACACAGAACCTCACACTGCCTTTTCCCTTCTGGTGCTACAAAGACAATGCCCGGCTCGCTGGGTACCTCCAAAGTTACTGCGTAAAGGGGCATTAGTGTGGGAAAGTGTCTCACATTCCTGGCTGAGGCTTTGTCTACTCACCAGTCTTCCTCCTGGCATCCTGCATTTGGATGAGAGGGAGAGTGAGGCTCAACATCCTACAGAGAAAATTTCTGAGCAGTGCCATTCCTGGCAAAATCAAAGTTATCCAAAGGAGCAGAGTTTGGAGGTGGAAAGATGGGCAACAATATTTGTCAGGAACAGCACACATTTTGTACAAAAAACCCAGCTCCTGTAATCTCAGCAAGATCTGGGCATTAGCAATCCCAAACCTACAGGCTCTCTTTTGCCAACTCAACCCCTTTCAGTCCCTTTGGACAATACCATTGGATTCACCAGAAATGTACCTTCCAGCCTGAGGAGTCTGCCCTGCATTTCAAACCTTCAAAAAGGGAACCAGAAAATGGCAATAAGTCATAAGAGCAAACATGTCTTTGACATCCAGTTTCCAGCATTTAAAGGGAACGTCACTGAGTGAAAGCATGATTTATCATAGCGAAGATTTATAAGTCCACCCAGAAACATAGACTCACTGAGTGCCAGAATGGTTGGTGTTGACCTTGAATAGCATCCCTTTCTAAATCCCTGCCATGGGCAGGGACAATCTCCACCATCCCAGGCTGCTCCAAGCCCTGTCCAGCCTGGCCTTGGGCACTGCCAGGGATCCAGGGGCAGCCCCAGCTGCTCTGGGCACCCTGTGCCAGGGCCTGCCCACCCTCCCAGCCAACACTGCCCTCTGGCACTGGGAGCCATTCCCTGTGTCCTTTCCCTGCAGGCCTTGTCCCCAGTCCCTCTCCAGCTCTCCTGGAGCCCCTTTAGGCCCTGCAAGGGGCTCTGAGCTCTCCCTGGAACCTTCCCTTCCCCAAGCTGAACACCCCCAGCTCTCTCAGCCTTTAACACACAGCCTTCATCATAACAGTCTTCAACAAGAGAAGCTGAAGCCTGTGGCAAGTCTCTTGCTGCCTGGTGGTATCACATCAACCAAAGCATCCACCTCTGGTTCTCTCCATTGCACTCCTTTTCCAGGTACCACCATGACAGCACCAAAGCCGTGTTACAGCTCAGTCAATTTTGCTCAAAACCACTGAGAAGGAAGTGTCTCCATATGTCTGTACCACGCTGTACACCGCTGCTCCCAAACAGCAGCCCCTGAAGCCCAGGATCCCAGGATCATCCAAAGGATGGTGGAAAACTCCAAACCCACACAAGAAAACCTGGCAGCTTCAGGCTCTTCAGGCTAGAGGGCAGAAATCTAAAGTGATAAAATGTTTAAAGGATACACATGATACCAGAGTGTGTGTGGGATTTATATCTTTTTCTTTTTTTTTTTTTTCTTTAATATATTTCGCTATATGTTTTGCTGTGGGAAGAGTTTCTTCTAGAGCAAGGAGTGGGAGGGAAGGAAACATAACAGAAGGAAAGGAACTGTTGCTACAGGCAACTCAACTCTTACACAACGGTGCGATTTCTGTAGTGATTATGGAATCACAGAATCACAGAATTAGTAAGGTGGGAAAAGACCTCCAGGATGATCAAGTCCAACCATCAGCCCAGCAACACCTCCATGTTCACCACTGATCCATGTCCCTGGATGCCACATTCACATGTTGTTTGAAAACTTCCAGGGATGGTGACTCCACCATTGCCCTGGGCAGCTTGTGCCAGTGCCTGGCCACCATTTCCATGAAGAAGTTTTCCCCTATATCCAACCCAGACCCCCCCTGCTGCAATTTGAGGCTTTTTCCTCTCGTCCTGTCATTTGTTACCTGGGAAAGAGACTGACCCCCAACTGGCTCCACTGTCCCATCAGGGGTTGTACAGTTTTGGAGAATTATAGAACAGCAAAACTCCCTGCAATGGACTATTTAAAATGCAAGATATCAGACAAACCCAGCACTTATTACAGGCAAAAATTGCAATCATATGAGCATTATTTCATGCATGCAATATGATTACTATGCAGTATCTCTTGTTTGTAATTTTATCCACCTCCTTCACCCTCTGCTCTTCCACCTGTCTCTCTCCTTTTTATTGTGCTCATCAAAAGTATTCTTTTGAGATTTCAAGTGCCCTGATTATGTTTTTTCCCCCTCAAAGCCATCATTTTTAAACTATGCCAGGAGAAGAAGGAGATAAAATGGTAACAACCCAACTGAAATGAAGATAGCTATAAGGAGGAAATACATAGAAATCTGCAGTTCTTCCCACACACTATGGAAAATGGAAATTTAAGTTATTTAGAAGTTCATCACCACCATTACAGCATACACAGAAATTAAGCTGATATTGCAAAAACCTCACCGAATGCTACAGTAGCCAATGCCTTTGAAAATATGAAACCAAGATTTTGGTGTCCAAGCTGAAGCCTGCTTCATCAACCTTCTGCCCTGAGCCACAGAGGTTTCAGGCAAGACTGGCTATTGCAATTTTAATTTAATATCAAACTGGGCTCCCTTTCATTATATTTAACATTAGTAACTGTAGGATTTTAATGTTTGCTTATTTGATATTGATCAGGAAAGTCAATGCTTTCATTTCACAGTAAAGAAAATTGCTACTGTTAATGAAAAAAAAGTAATTACATGTAAATGACCTTTCCTTCTGCATATCAAACCAAGAACAACTGAGCAAACAGGATGGGAGAGGGCTTGAGTCACTGTGCAGTTTTATGTGCTACAATAAATTTTGTGGTTTTCCACATAAGCAAAAAAAAATGGGACAGAGGAGTCAATGGCACAGAGAAACACTGAGGACATTTATAGACAGTAGGACACTCATTTGGTGGGAGACCCCTAACTCTCACTGTCAGTGTGGAGAACTAAATTAACCAGGACCCTCATGCCAGGGCTTGGGATGGGTCTCAGGGCAAGGTTCTTCCCCCCGAGGCTGCTGGCACTGCCCAGGCTCCCCAGGGAATGGGCCCGGCCCCAAGGCTGCCAGAGCTCCAGGAGCGTTTGGACAGGGTGGGCTTGTTGGGGGGTCTGGGCAGGGCCAGGGGCTGCACTGATCATCCCTGAGGGTTCATTCCAACTCATGGTTCTATGCTCCTATCACTTTGATGGATCCCTTCACTTAAATCTGAGCAACAACACAATTTCTGGTGTTACTAATGATAGAAGTACAATAATAAATAATAATAAATGTAGTCCACAGCTCTACATCGTTTAAAAGTGTTAATTGCAGTGAGAATCTTCAGTATCCTACTGTCAAGGACATTCAGCAAACAAGTATTAACTGTACTTCTCTACCTGTGCATCATTTCATTACAGCTTCACTGAATCCCAGAATGGTTTGGGTTGGGAGGGACCATCCCAATCCACTCCTGCCATGGGCAGGGACATCTCCCATCTTCCCAGGTTGCTCCAAGCCCCCTCCAGCCTGGCCTTGGGCACTGCCAGGGATCCAGGGGCAGCCACAGCTGCTCTGGACAACCTGTGCCAGAGCCTGCCCACCCTCACAGGGAAGAATTTCTTCTTCTACAGTAAAGAGTTCCTGGCAGCTTACAGTCTCTAAAGCATCAAACTTACCTTCCTAACAGGGATCTTGCAGTCCAGGTTCATCTGCCAATGCAAGAGATGAGAAAGGAAACCCATCACAAAAATAATTATATTGCAGTCAAGTTTTTAACAGCAAACATCAGCAGGCAAAGAATTAAAAACATGTTTTAAAACTATTCAAATAATTCTGAAATCTTGCTTTACCTGAAGAAAATGTGAGAAGCTGATGAACTGAGCTTTAGATTCTCTGGAATGAGCCCACAGTTACAGCATCTGAGACTTCCCTTAAAAGCTTTTCTATAAATAACAACTGTGAGCGTTCCGAAAAGCAACATGAGCTTTGTAGAAGCCAAGTGGGAGTGCCTGGGGCTGGAAATACAGTTCTGAAAAATCCATAGAATCACAGAATCCCAGAATGGTTGGGGTTGGAAGGGATCTTGGAGACCATCTTGTTCCATACCCCTGGGCAGGGACACCTTCCTCTGTCCCAGGCTGCTCCAAGCCCCGTCCAGCCTGGCCTTGGGCACTGCCAGGGATCCAGGGGCAGCCCCAGCTGCTCACAATTCCTGCCCAATATCCCATCCAGCCCTGCCTCTGGCATCCCCCTTGTCCTGTCCCTCCATGCCCTTGTCTAAACTTCCTCTCCAGCTCTCCTGGAGCCCCTTTAGGCCCTGCAAGGGGCTCTGAGCTCTCCCTGAATCCTTCTTTCAAATCCTTGTATTCAAAGAGTGACACTGTCTCTGGAGAGGATTAAAGTGACATGTTAGAAGCAAAAAACCAGGCAAATATGCTTTCCCTTTAACCAAACCTTTTTACTTCTCTGAATATTTGCCCATTCTTGAGACTCTGCCTTCGGGTTTGCAGCACTTGGAAATTAATTACTGGACTGCTTTGTCACAGGTCATCCAACTACCAGGAATGTATCCACTTTTGTGGGAATTCTGATTACATAAATAGCCAAGTAAGAAATTATATTTTCTCTTTTATCACCAAAATGCACGCACCCTCAGCAAATCAACTCTTCAACCTGATCTTGGTGGCAGAGTTTCCTTGGGATGAACATCAGGAGGATGAAGAACTGATTTTGGAGCTCCTTTCTAAAAATGTTAATGATCTCAGATAACTGAGTGCACACGGGATTTAACAGCTGCCTGGTAATCTTCTTAACTGCAGTGATCATACAAGAAATTCTACCTCAAATGCACACCAGGAGCTGAATATATCACCTCTGTCACTGAGACCGAGTTGTCAGGGGTCTCAATGGATATTTCTGTTCTTTACTGGCGTTTTCCCATCACTCACCTGCTTCAGTTTGATGGCCGTGTGCTAGAGGAGAAGTATTTTCTCCATGTCCTGTCACATCTTTTATCTGGGTATAGGATTCAGGCATTACTCTCTGAATACTAAACACAAACCCATTGCAGCTGCACTCAGAGCTTACAGTGAAGGTGGATATTTTAACCT